AAATGTTAGAAATAGCGGGTGCTAGAGTGTCCCTGAACAGTAGTGTAGAATGTAGAAGGCTTATATTATTGGTATCTTAGTTTGTACATGTACAACAGGAAGTAAGAATATATCTGACCAAAGAATGAGTTACAAAATACAGACATGTATAATCACTTGCAGGATCCTTTATATCCAAGTGTTTTTCCATGGAACCTGTTTTATGACTAGCTGTAAAAGGAATACAGACGATAATCTTAGAAGCACTTTCCATCATTGAGCAGTTGCATTGTTTGAAAGCCATTTTCTATCGTTCAGCATCCCTTTAATCTCAGTTTTCGCAACTCGAATCAAGAACAAACTCGCAAGGAATATAGAAACAATAAGCATCAGAAAGACACTGTTCCATCCTCTTGTGGAGATGTACCCTGCCAGAAGGGGGCCAACAGCTGCCCCAACAGAACCAGTGCCATCTATAATTGCAGACACAGTAGCTAAAGCTCGGGAATTTCCTTTAATCAAGTCCTGAGTACCAAGATCAGCTGCAACAGCTGTAGTAATTAGAGCATACGGGCCATTTACAAGCAGCCCAGAAATAAACATCAAAGCATTATTGAGGAGCATAGACACGCTTCCATAAACCCGGTACAGAACAAGGGCTGGAATTGATAGAAGCAAGAATACTATTGAAGTCACTGCACGAGCTTCAATCATATCAGATATAAATCCTGCCAAAACTCCGCCAAAGACTCCTCCAATATCGAACACCGTTGAAAGAATTCCAGCAGTCTTGTGGGACAAATGCACGCCAGCAACATCTTCAATTTCCAAAAAAAATTCATTAAAACAGGCATCCAGCATCTAACAAAATCAAATATATGCAAAGGCATGCTTCAGCAAACTAAGCAAAAAGATGCAAGTGCATCAGCCAGATGAACCAATAAAAGAGGGTTCAAGCCATGATAAGAAGAAATGGTCTCCTACAATCAAATTTCGAGAATTCATAAATAAAGGCAGCATTTGTGTTGATGACAGCAAATTCTCATCGCCATCACAGTCCCGTTCTTATATGACACTCATATCTAAATACATGCAAAAATGATTAGCATGAGGCAAATCAGCTCTTGATAAGAATTTCAAAGTCAAGAAGAAGCAAATACCTGTGTGACTTATGTAGAAGGGCAACCAATATAGAAAAGTGTACGCCACTAGCTTTGAAAAGAAGAGGCAGAAAGCAAATGGTGCCACACCAGGTAATCTCCAAGCCTCCAGGAATCCGATGGCTGCGGTAGAATCCAGGTTTTCCTCCCCAAGAAGCCCTGCTTCTTCTGATTCCACCTTCTCCAAATTCTCCAAACCATTCACCTCCACATCCATTTCAATCTCCTTCCCTGGAGTCTCAAATCCAATATCTTCAGGATTAACAACAAGAAACAGGAACACTAAAACCCCAGCTAAAATCACCAAAACTCCGGGCACCACAAATGACCAACCCCAACCAAACTCCAAAACCCCAGATGCCACAACCGACCCAATAATGTTCCCTACCGATGTATGGGAAGTCCATATCCCCATTATCAACCCTCTCTTAGCTTTCCCAAACCAATTCCCAACCACTGCCACCACACAAGGCCACCCTATAGACTGAAACAAACCACACAAAATCTGCACACTCACAAAATATCCTAACAAATGTACATTAAACCAATAACCTAACCCAAAAATAATGGTCAAAAGACCACTACCCACCATTCCAAAAACAAGAAACAACCTTAAATCAATCCTATCACCAACATGTCCTGCAAAATACATTCCTATTGAATATGCAGACAAAAATGCAAGATCAAGCTCACCAAGCCGGTGAGTCCCTTTAGGGCCATTAAAGGGAGCCCAACCAGTACCATTGGATTCTAATGAGGTTAAATTAGACTCAATCGTTGAAGAGTTCAAATGAATTTTGGGTCCGAGCACACCTTTTACAATACTTGGTGGCTTTCTTGAGGCATGAAATGAAGCATAAGCGAGAAAGGTGATGGCTAAGACTGTAAATTGGTGAAAAGTTAGGGTCTTGTTTGGAGGTTTAAGAGATGGGAAAAGGGTAAAAGCTGGAGCAAGAATTTGGGTTTTCGATTGCATTGTAATTGATAAAGAAAAATCACAGTAGCATCAGCTCATTGCAAAAAAATCCTAACCTTCAATATGATTTACCCTTAAAGTTCCAAACTTTTAAGGGTAAATCCGGTGTATAAGAAGAAATTGTGGAACTCAATAGCAATTGAGGTTAATCCGAAGGAAAATTTTGGATCTGTGGTTAGGGTTTAGAGAAATCACAATGCGTTTGCCTTTTTGGGAAAAAAAAGAGAAAAAGACGAAATCTAGAGCAGAAATGAGAAAAGAAGGGGAAGTGTGTGTATCGTGTAATACAAAACTGAAAACCCACTCAGTAGGAATTTTATGAATTTTAAGACATGGATTGGTTATTAAGAGGAAAACAAGAAGATGATTACGTTCGTTTTAGCCAACGGGAGGGAGGGTTAGGTTCTCAGGGCAGAGAGCTAGATCTCAGATAGGGCTTGGTCTGATGTTTCGTTTTCCTATTGCTTCATAATCATCCCTATAGTTTTGTAAATTGGTCAATTCACATCATTTATTTTACATTGAGCCAAATTGGTCCCTTTATCTTAAAACATCACAACACATGGAATTCATGGAACCATTTGATTAGTGGTGAAGATGGAAGGGTAGATTTGATCCAATTAAAAGTAAGGAATTTGATATGAACAAATATAAAAAGGAGATGGAGCATTCGAGATTCTCGGCATTTTATTAATGGTCCAAGCCCCCAATGTGTTTTGTTTTCTTAACTGAGAAGGAGAAATGTTTGACTCGACATTAAAGTGAATAGGTTGATAAGATAAGATTTGAAGAAGAAAAAAAGGGTTAACCCACTTGCAAAACAACATGCTAGTATTCATTATAAAAAGAAAAACTTAGATTAATAATAACAAGTTCATATATTCTTGCAAAACCTAGTAACAGAATTTTTAAAAAGTATTAAAAAGCCTCTTGCATTTCAATCTCCTTTCCTCTAAAAGATCTTAAGCCACGTGACTTTAGAGTATAGTAAAAAAAAAAAATTAAGGTGTTTTTTAAATATATTAAAATAATATATTTTTTAGTTTAAAAAAATTATTTTTAATCAATACATCAAAACAATTCAACAACACACACAAAATTTAAAATATAATTAAACTACGATATCAAACATCCACCAACTAATTAAAGAAGTGTTTTCTCCAACAATATTAGCTACACATTGAAATAAAGTAATATCCCTTTTATTATTATTGATTATAATTTAAAAGACATGGTGAAAGCACTATTCATTGTTGTAGTGAATTTTTTTATCCCTTTAATTTTTTTTTAATTATACTCTTAAATGCCCAAAATTGATAGGGAATTAAAGCAAATATATTGAGGAATGACAAGATTCAAAAATAGATGATCAAAATAAAAATAAAAAAAAAAACAAACAAAAGGGTTGGTTGTTTCAAACTTTAGAAAAAAGTTCACTTTGATCCACAAAATTTTTAAATTATAAATTCTCAATTCCTTAATATTTTTTAAAACATAATTTTAGTTTAAAATTTTGTTTTTTTGTCCTTGATTTGAAATAAAAAATAGAAAATGGTTGAAATTCAATAATAGAAAGAAAAAATTTTAATTAATAATAATTCTGACAACAACAAAAAAAAAATTGATATTAATAGACTCCATTCAATAAAAAAAATTTATAAATTTTTTGCTCTTAATCTTGCTTGAGATGGTAAACTCATGCTCATAAATATTTTTTTATTTCAAGTTGATGTTAGATTTCCAGACAAATGATTTTTTTTATGACATGCATAATTTTTTTTAATTGTTTCTAAGTAAAAGAAAATAATTGAAAATGGATAACTTTTTATGTAAAATACCCTGCTCTAACTTTCTGGCAACTTCAACTTGCCGAAATCTAATCAAGCTTAGGCACGTGAGATGTTCCAAGCCTATGCACCCAAACCTTTTTCCCTCTTTTTCTTTTTTTCTCTCTATGATACATGATCCATTGTAATTAGATTTTTTTTTATTTTTTTAAATTGTATTATTTAATATTTTTTATTTTTTTATTGGCCAACATAATTTATTTTAATTTAATATTTGTAAATTTATTGTAATTTCAAATAAATATCTAATATTTAGTTAGTTTTTAATCTTACGAGTTTTTTTATTGATTTTTCTTGATTATTTTTTTCAATTACATCATTTAATATTTTTTATTTTTTATTGGGCAACATAATTTATTTTGGTTTAATATTTATAAATTTATTGTAATCTCAAATAAATATCCTGATATTTAGTTAGTTCTCAATTTTTACGAACATCAATTTTAAATAAAAATTATAAAAAAAAAATATAAAACCCAATTGATTTTATAACTTGAGTTACAAACATTACTGATTAACTTCAGTTTAAAATTAATTTTCATAAATTATTTTGATTACACTAAACTTTTCAATTTACAATTAAAAGTGGGGAATGCTATCATGTTTATTTTTTTATATAAAAATAAATTATCTAACTTGCATCAATGGTTTGTAAATCTGACCAACTGGCTAACCGTAATGGTGTGTTTCCTTCTCAAAAAAATGGTTGTGCAATCGTTACTGGAGATGCACTGATGACTGGTAAATTTTCCTCAAAAAAAAAAAAAAAAAAACCTCCTAACGGGCGCATTGTAATCATCAAAGAGTTGGTAGTTACCTGGAAATGCTGCGATGATAAAAGAGATGCAGTTCCAGGTTATAGTAATGGCAATAACACATACTATGTTTCTTCTTGATTTATGTTTATCCCTTCATTTCAAGGTTAATGTTTTAATCCCAGAAGGGCAGGACGCTTGGAGGCCTCGATGCCCGTATTGCGATGGGGAGGCATGCCAGTAAGGCAAACCCAAATACGGTGAGCAAACCAATCATGAGATCTTCGAACAAATAATCCAACCTTGCTTGCATTGCCACCTCCCTGGGCTCACAAGGAGAGTTTTTCATGCCACTAGCAGTAAATATTATACAATATTACATCAAACATTCAAAATTTTGAATTTACTCGATGGACATCCTTTCTTTTTGTAAGCGGTGTTCAGCCCCAACTGCTAGGGATATCAGTCTGCACTATTATCTGCTATCCAGGTTTCAACACATGTAAAGACAGATAAAAACTGCCCGCAAGAAGTGCTTCCTATGGCCCATGGCTAAATAAGCACCAACATTGGAAGTATCACATCATTTGTTGATGAATATCAGCTGCTTGCTGAGCCAGCTCAACCACCATAGCCTCATCGAAGAACTTGTTAATGCTCACATCTTCACTCATTCCCTGGAATATAGAATCGAAACAAAAAGTATTACCAAATGGCTATTGGTTTTATCTATTAACAGCATAGGAGGTGTTATAAAAAACCCATTTCCATAGAGCGCCATGGTAGATTTGGAATTCTCATGCAGCTCAGAAAAATAATAAATTTGAAGTAACAATCTTCCACCGCTCCAAGAGCTTGAAAAAGTCATCCACGTAACAGAAAGAGAGACCCTGGGAGAAGGGAGAGGGGTATACCTTGCGACGCCTTGTCTTCACCATAAATTCACGGGCAAGGTGCTGGATTGGGGCAGGCTCAAGTGGCCTCAGAACAATGCTCTTATCAAGGGGATCTCCAGGGACTATAGCCCAATGATCAAACACCGAGAGGCTAAATGCTTGACCTTGGGTATGGTACCTCAAGTCCGTTTCAAAACCAAATGATTCTATGACAGGTAAAAATGCCTGAAATTCAATTTCAAAAATTAGAAAATAAGAGAAAGCTTGAAGTATATGTGGGTGTGTGTCAACCATCTCCATATATTTACTTGTATAAAACCAACAGCATGTAAGCTGGGTACGAAAAAGTGCTGCTATCACCTTAACAATATAAGCTGGAGTCCCAGGCTGAGGAACATCTGCTGTAACATGCCCACGTCTGCGAGATAACACCGTATAGATTGCAGTGAGACAGTCAATTGGTGTTTGTATCTGAAAGAACATAAAACACAATTAGTAGGACAATCCAAGAAAGAAACTCTAAATCTAAATGAGCTAATTGCATTTATTCAAAATAGCATGTTATGGAAACTGAGGATGAGCATTCATCATATTCCACTGAGCTTTCTGTCAAATTCATCATATTCCACTGCTGTCATGTTCCTTTAGTCACAGTAACGAGCAGGAAAAGTCTATATATTCTCCCTTAGGTATGCATATTTCTTTAATATAATACAATTATCAAGTAAGTACCTCCACATAATATACGGGTTCCATGAGCCTTGGGGTTGCCATAAGGAAAGCTGAGTAGGCCACACGCCGAGCTGTTGGAATTATTTGACCAGATCCACGATGAAGTGGTTCAGGCGCAATCCTAGCATCAACTATCTTGAACTTAACATTTCTGATTGGTTCATCACAAAGTGGTCCTTCTCGTGCACCCCACTGAAACCTGTCCAAAAGAAAATGAAGGTTTTATTTAGGCATTTGGTTAAATGGTAAAAGAACAGACGAAAATTCCAGTTTACCCTTGAACAATAGAATCCTTCACGGCACCTAGTAATCCCTTGTCCACTTCAGTTGGAAGTGTGTCATCTAGCAAAATATTAGGTCCCTGCAGATATCAAAAACACATAAGATTAAATTAAGTTCATTTAATCCAATCATTGAAAAAATGAGGAATTGACGTATCAAAACAGGATTTGATCACATATCATTTGTAATCCAATCATTGAAAAAATGAGGAATTGAGGTATCAAAACATGAGCAGGATTTGATCACATATCATTTGAAAAAAATCAAATCATGGATACATTAAGCAACTACATTACCTGCTTATCAGGGCCAAAAGCCCATATGGATCGTGCTGCAAGCAAATCCCAATCATATTTTGTCTTGAAGAAGTCACCTAGAGCTTTCCGATTCCAGTCAATGCTTACAACACCATTTTCAATATCTTCTGCGAGCCCTTTCTCCAATGGCTCAGCAATCTATAAAATTAAGAAACATTCCAGATGAACAAAATTAAAAGTCCAGAGCATTGAGATAGAATACTCAAAAGCAACTAGATCAAATAAAACTAGTGGTCTTCTTTACCATGGTTATTTTATTCTTCTTGTTGGGTGTTTCAGCAAAGCATTTCATTGATGAGGACTCCACCACAGTTTCACAGAATGAGACAACGGGATCAGCTACCTACATTTGACATGAAGCATTAAACAGGACAGATGTGCATGGAAACTAAGAGTGTCCCATAAAAGGAAATAGGAGAATAAATAACAAAAGTATATCAAAAAAGCATATGAGAAATAGATACCTTGACTTCCACTTCAGAATATAGCTCCCTAAGGTCCTTCATAATAGAATCTAAGTACAACTCTCCGGTACCAAGTATAGTGTGCTCCCCAGACTCCTCAACTTTAGTTATGGCCAGAGGATAGCTTTTACTGATCTTCCTAAGACCCTCCACCATTTTGGGCAACTCACTTGGATTTAGAGGTTCGGTAGCAGTTTTCACTACTGGAAGAGTATTGAACTGAAGAGGTCGAAATATGTATACATCTTCTTCATTATAATTCACATTACAGAGAGTTGCAGTTTTCATAATTGAAGCATCCACACCTTCAATGAGAACCCATGAACCAGGAGGAGCCATACTTATGGGTAACCTATACCGAGCTTGATATACCCATAGTTTTGTCACTTCTTTTACTGTCATGTCCTCCTCGTCCTCTGGTGAATAGCCTTCTCCCAAAACTTTTACAGACTGCCCTGTCATAATTTTACCACTATAAACCCTACCAAAAGCATCAAATGAACTGCAATCTGACTTCGGATACAATTTCGTCACATTAACCATTGAGGGGCCATCAGGATCACATTCTAGCATGGCCTGGTAGATCATTGAATCTTTGGGCCCAGTATATGTATGATCAACCTTCCTGGCAGCAGCAGCCTTAGCCGAAGGTATATGCTTAACAAGCATGTCAGTGAAACCTGAGGCTGAGCCAAAAACTTGACTGCAAGCCAGTCTTAGCAAAGGCCTGACATTTAATTTATAAGCTGAATTAGGAAGAGTAACACCAAACTCAGCAAGAGTAGCCTCAACGCTTTTTTTATGTTCTCCAATCACTTGGCTGTATATTTTGTAGAGAGGTTCCAGCACAAATTGGACAAACGATCTTTCTGCTCCACTAGCAGGAGGTTTCTTCTTGAAAGTCCTGTCCTCAGGATTATAGTACATATCCCCCCAGAGACGAGATGCAAACTTATCAGCATCAAATGGGATACCATGGAGTTTGAGATACAATCTGGCAAAGGAATGCAAAGTGAAGGACCATCCTGCGGTTGCACCAGCAAAACAAACATTTCCAGCAGCTGGATCTATCACTTGAACATTTCCAGCAGTTGAAGAGACAGCAGATATATGGTTGTTAATGACTTCTATGGTATGCCTTAGCTTGTGATAAGCATCCTTTGGGGGCAATTTGAGCTCTGTTATGAGCCTGTCAACCTTCAAAAGAAAATTTGTGCAAATAACACCTCATGAACCAGTCAAAATTTTTGGAAAAAATCAAATCGGAAGTGCCAAACAAAATAGAGGTAATAGGGAAATACCTTATTGATCACAACAACAATAGGCAGCTGTTCCTGAATTGCGTGGCGTATGGCCCTCTCTGTGTTTACCTAAGCATTACAAAATAGTAAATTGACCATATCAAGTGGCTAGAACATTCTCGTGCACTTATGAAAACAACAGTTATATCATGAAATAGCATCTTCGAAGTTCAACCACGATCATAAGTGCATGGTATTGAGAACAAGTGTCACAAGTCATGCAATAGAAGATTATAGCCTTGTTGCCGCAATCAGTCCAATCATAGACAAAACCATTTGCAACTAATGCCTGTATAAATGCTGATATGATAGGCAGAAAACTAGAACAAATTATGTATTGAACTCATCAAGAATGATGGATTTAATATCTACGGAGAAATACTTCGCAAATTAATCCACAGAAGAACAGATAAAATCATATTAAGATATGATCATAATATTTTTGTAATGAAATTATCAAAATTAACCTAAAAAAAAATCTTACCATCACTCCTTCAGCAGCATCCACAACCAACACTGCACCATCAGCAAGCCTGAGGGCAGCAGTCATTTCATCAGAGAAGTTCACATGACCAGGGGTGTCCATGATGTTACAGAGGTACGACTTTGAATTGCTATCCTCAAGGACAAGTGACATTGGAACTGCCTTGATAGATATCCTTCTTTCTTGCTCATCAATCCTTGTATCTGTGTACCTAATATGCTTCTCGCTATTTATATCAAAAGTTGGTGTATGATGTGTTTGCTCAACCAACATGTCCATAAAAACTGTCTTCCCATGTTGTAGATGGCCCACGAGGGCAACGTTGCGTACCAAAGAGGGATTTGACATAAGACCAACAACAAACTGGCTGGAAACATAAGTTGAGGAATCCTTAACCCCAACCTCAAACTTGATGTTCCTAACAGGCTTAATTATCGGTTGCTCAAGAGGCTGCTCATCTTCATCGTTAACCAACGTTTCAACACCTGGACCATAAACCTCCTCCGCGGTTGGGTAGTACTTCTTGTCCTCAGCAAGGACAACTTGGTTATCCATATCAACATCATTAGGGGCAGTAAGCCAACCATTGGAAGCATGAACTGCCTCTTCACCATCAGATTCCTCCTCATCTTCATGAGGCTTGTCTGGAAGTTCTTCATCTTCTTCCTCACCATCGCTCTCTCGGTCTGACTCTATTTCCGGACCAATGTAGTTCCCAAACTCATCATACAAATTGTCATCCATGGCACCACTTCAAACCTGCCATACCAAATCATGAATCAATAACCAAGTACAACCACGAAATCAACTAAACTTACACAAGAACCAGTAAATACAAACTAAATTCTTGCTAAAAAAATCTCCTTGTTTTCTTTCAATCAAGATTAAAAACAAAAACACAACAATCTCTAATTTACTAAAGTGACCACACAGGTGGTGTTTTGATAATAATCTCATCGACCCTTTTTACCACTTCACCTAAGCTTCAGATCTCCACTTTTTACTTCCTTCCACTTGAAAAAAACAAACACACAAACACAGTAACTTAACAAGCTAAATCTTGCATCTGGGTGTCTAATTTTCTCTACAAATCTAGTAGCCCATTCCCTTAAATTCTCTTCTACAGACAATCCAGCAAACAAATTCATTTCTAACTAAATTAAACCAGCAGTACAGCTTGCGTAAATAGAAACTGAATCGCGAAACAACGTATATAAACACATACATAAGCAAAAATGAAGGCACGAAATAGAGTAATAGAGGAAGAAGAGAAGCTGCTGCATACCCGGTAGAGAGAGAGAAGTTCGCTGCAGGAGAAGCCAAAGAGGAGGAGGGGTTTGAGTGGAGATAGAGGGAGGGGTTTTTGAAGGGTTCGGGTTCTGGAGAGAGCGAGCTCCTTGTGGTGGGCGGATCGCGGTCGCTTTATTTTGATGGGCTTTTGTGTTGTTCTGATTTATTAACTTGGGCTTCTTGTAATAAAATAAAATTATTGTTTTTGTAGATTTTTATTTTTTTTCTTTTCTTGGTGAGAGATTTTATATCATATAGGTTTTTATGTGGAAGGATTTCAATTTTCATAATTGTTTATCCAGAATCAGATCAATTTATCTTTATATTCTAGATTTAATTTTTTTAATTCTAATTACTCCCAATTTATTATTATATATTAAATCATTTTCTAATTTATGAAAGTGCCCTCACGTGAAAAACTTAATTCATATTTGATTTATCATAAAAAATATTTGGAAAAAAAAATAATCAAGTGTTATTAAATTCAATTTGTTTCATATTTATTTATTTTGTTAATGGATCAGATGAGATTTGAGTTTCTCTTTGTTAGTTTTGATTGAAAAAATGACAAAATAATTTTTAGGAATGAGTTTTTTGTAAAGTGAAAACACAAATGTAATGGGGAGGCATTATTTTTTTTCATGGAATTAAGGTAAATTTGGTTGGTTGTAATGAGTTATTTAATGTAATGAAATATATATTACATTCTTATATTTGATGATATTATAATTTTAAAATAATAATATAATGGACGACCATAATTGTAATAACCATGATATTATAAGTATTACATAAAAAATTTATATAATAAACCATAATAATGTAATTATATAGGAACATAATTGTAAAGGATATCATCATAAGAGTTAAAATGTAATTTTTATAAGAGACAACAAAAAAAATTAATACGATGACCAATCCATAATAAATGAATGCAATGAATCATCTCATAATATACATTATAACTTAAACATACTATTATTAAGTTTATAAACACTGCCATAAATCTATCAAAATAGCTTGTCTTTGTCGATATTCTATCTCGTACCCTTCTTTTGGGCATGATTTTCTTTATATTCGTTTGACATATGCAGTCTCGTTGAATGTTTATTTGAAACAATACAACACTATTAATCTCAATAGATACATGTGCCATAACATTTTAATTTTAATATAATATAATTTTTTTAATATTTTTAAAATTTTTATTTTTATTTTTGACATTAGGATATGAAAATATAAAAAAATAAAAATAAAAATATTTTAATTTTTTAAAAACATAAAAATAAATCATTTTTTAATAAAATCAAAACAGGGCAGGGTTTGTCACGTGAAGCTTGAATTTTTTTAATTTTTTTAATTATTTTAATGTATTAATATCAAAAATAATTTTTAAAAAATAAATAAAAATTATTTGAATATATTTGTAAATAAAAAACACCTTAAATTATAATCATTATCCTATTTTCAAACACCATCCTTGAATAACTATACAGCCTGAAGCAAGCTACTAAATAGTGAAAATTACGATTCCTACATGATCAATAACGGTTATAATTAAGACAAATGAACGTGCATTTATTATAAGACCTTGAAGAATACACATGTTGATGATTTATTAGTTTTGAAATCAAATTTATGTACGTGGTAAAAGAGATCAAGAATTTGTTTGGTGACCATTTTGATATAAATAATCATAGCAAGACAAAGCTTATTTTCGGGTATGAATGTTATAAAATACATGATGTTATTTTTATTGACCGGTCACATTAAGAAAATATTAAGGAAATCTAATTTCATTTATTGCAAGCACGTTACTGCTCATTTGGGTACTAAAATCCATTTGTTTTCTATTAATATATAGATGATAATGTGATTGATAAAAAATAATTTTCTAGTTTGGTTGCCAACTTGCATTTTTTGGTGATTAGTTTCGAGGTGATTTTGCTTTTTTTACTATATTTTTAGTTTTTAAAGATATTATTTATAATTTAAAAAAGTTGTATTTTTTTTATAAAAAAAATATTACAGTCGAACACATCTCATTACTGTTGATGTTTGTTTTTGTATTTTAAAATGTTTTTGAAAAAATAAAAATTTTTAATTATTTTTTATATTTTTAAATTATATTGATATGTTAATATTAAAAATAAATTTTAAAAAATAAAAAAATATTTTAAAAAATAATTATCAATTATCAATACAGCAATAAACAGGAGAGAAAAAAAATAGTGGCACGCCATTGAGATAATGATGAAACATTTACGTGGTACTAGGAATGATCACTTGCTGTGTGAAAAAGTACCCAGCAGCACTACAAGGTTTTGCCGATTGAAACACTTTGTGAATTGACTCTCTCTCTCTCCACTACTAGTTAATTATATATTCATTTGAAATGGTGGTTATTGGTAATTCAACAATGGAAGCTATAACTAGCCAGGTTCAATACAAAAAAAATAAAAAAATAAATCTCTTTTTATGATGTGAGTGAATTCATCCTGTATAATGTACAGAGGTTGGGTTTGATATAAAAACTACTCTTGACGGATTTTTGCAGCACCTTCAACAAAATTCATCCTTGTAAATCTTCCTCTTTTTTTTTTTTTGGGATTTATCGTTGTGCGTTCTTAGAAAGAAAGAAAGAAAGGCAAATTCTTAGAAGATAAACACTCTACTCTTATTATTAATTAATTATCGAAGCACCATACATGTTTCTTCGAGAATGAAACAGCAAGCACGTTACACATACACACACTGGAAGTGAAAATAAGATTACTAGTCAGCTAAGCCAAGTAAAACTAGCTATACAGAGCTTCCTTCCGTTACATCATCATCCCCTATGGATACGCTTATTCATATATTGCTAGGCCTAGCTTCGAGTTCTTCATGTATAAGATCGACTAAGGACGGTGATGATCAGGTGGAGGTGCACGCGGACCTGGAGGAGGGGGTTCACGGTGTGGTGGACCTGATGGCGGTGCATGCGGACCTGGAGGAGGAGGGGAATGGCCACGAGGGGGAGGAGGTTCGCGCTGTGGTGGACCGGGTGGTGGTGGATGGGGCTCTGGCGGTGGGTGGCCGGGCTGGTGACGGGGCTCTGGCGGTGGGGGATTGTGCATCTTCTAATTTCTTGCTTCCGACAGCTCTTTGTTGTTGTTTGATATGGATGTGGAGAAATGTATTGGGATAGTCTCTGAATTTATACATGTGAATGGATAGGGCTAAGCTAGTTGGGTTGCAAAGTTTAATGTTTCATGAATTTGTCCGGTATCTTTTCTTCAAAACTACAAGTCAAACCCACGTTTGTGCTTGGTTTGGTAGGTTTCTACCTGAAATTCATCGATTTCTCTAGACTTTGGAAGTGGCTCTTCCTCCTATACCAAAAAGAATTATACAAATCGCACTTAAGATTATAGCCTGGTGGTTCGTTGCAAGGCTTGTCTTGTGGTCGACTTGAATTCAATCTTTTTTGTGTATTTGTCTGTCAGTTTCTGCAGTGTTTTACTGGATTTACAAGATATTCACTTAGGCCGTGAAATTAATCGTGATGCGTGCAAACCAGTCCGAACACCACATTAATAATAATAAAAAAAATTTATACAAATCATGTAGACGGTTGAATTTGAAACATGATCAAGAGAAATAAATGCTAATGGTTGATCTATAATTTGATGATAATCACTTGTATAGTTTGTTTTGGCATTAAGAAAATATTTTTAAGATTTTTTTATTTAAATTAATTTTTTATAATTTTATATCATTATATAAAAAATATTTTAAAAAATAATAACTAATTTTAAACACTAACAAACTATTTGTTACTAATTAATTAAACATTTTTATAATAAAAAAATCAATTTGACTAGTTAATTTTTGCCGCGTCCCAGACGACATCCAGTATTTGTTTGTATTGTGCCGGCTGCCGACAGCCAACAAAAACTCAAGCGAGGCAAAAAAAAGAAAGAAAGAAATATAAACACAGTAAATGCAACAGACAAAAGAAACAAGGGATGATGGTTTTGCTAGCTAGCTTGCAAGTTGTCATCGTGAGCAAAAGAGATATTATAGCGCATAGTATATTTTATTTTAAAATAATGTTTTATTTTTAATATCAATATATTAAAATATCAATTTAATATAAACAAATAAACTCTCAAAAAACACAAAAAACAAAGGTCGCCGATGCCTCTCAACTTTATCATTTTATTTGTAGACCTTGATTCAACACGTATACTATTTTTACTCTTGTCACCAAGAAAAAAATTGAAAAAAATATTTAAAAAAAAAACAAGTGTTGTTTTTCACTTGATATTGAGAACGACAGCTCCATTCTCACAAAAAACAAAATTAAAAATATACTGAAAATCAGAACTTAATTATGAACGTGACTTCACTGGTAGCTTGATTCCAACAGCCAGCCCTTCTCTCCGAGGCGTGGGAAATTTCAATTTCCATCCACACATCGGCACCAGATGGGGTAGACACTGGAGGGCTGAAGACCATGAATTATGGAGTATGACGGGCGAGTCTGGCTTGGTTTTCAGCCAATTTGGAATACTCTGTGTGAAAAAACCTCAGTATTCCACGAAGAGCTGCGGTGGTGTTCTTACACATGAGCGGTGGTGTTCTTTTACGAAAAGCAACCTATTTCAATGTCAACCCTTTGCACATATTTCTTGTGGGGTAAATTATAGGGATTCTCTTGAGGTAAAAGCACAAACACCACACAAATTCTATTGAAAATCCATCAAGATTTCTCTTATCTTCAACCAAAATTAAATAGCAATTGATATTGACATGTTCAGCTAATGGAAGACTTCCTATTTAAATCCATGTAGCTTATTAATCACCGACTATGACGCCACCGTGAACCTCTGTAATTTACAATCAAATTGGACTTTGTTTATTTTAATCACAATACATTCATATACATATATATATATATACATATACATACATATATATATATACATATATATCTGTGTGTTTATAAAAAAAACAACAACTAATACTTGTTTTTGAAACTATACACATACCCGCGAGGGCACTTTTTTTTTTTTTATTGTAGAATAGATATAAACTAGATGATTGTATGTGCTA